GCTGGGGTGCTGGAGACGCGGCGGGCGGCGGTCCGGGCGGCGCGGGCCTCGGCGCGGGGGAGTTAACACTTCATGCTGCTCGCCTCCTCTTCTGCCTGGCTCTTTTAATTTTCCCCCCTTCTCGCTCGCTCTCTCTGTCTCTTCTCGCTCGCTCTGTCTGTCTGTCTGTCTGTCTCTCTCAGTGCAAAGTACAAGATCGAGGCGGCTGGAGAGAGGGAGCTCGGAGAGCGTGGGGAGGGGGAGGACTTGAGTTCTTTCTTGCCTGTTTTTTTTTTTTAAAGCAAAAGAAAAAAAAGAAAAAATAGCCCAGTCCCGGGGCCGAGGCGGGCGGCGAGCGGAGGGAGCGGGGAGGCCGGGCCGGAGAGCCGCCCGAGCGGCCGCTCCGGGAGGAGAAAAGGTTTTTAAAGCCTCTGATCCAGCAAGAAGAGTTTAAAGCAATTGCCGAGTTTTATAGCGCGCGTGACGTCAGGCCCCGGTGGGAAATTGACTGGCACTCGCGGCCAATGGGCGCGCGCGGCCGCGGCGGCCATTAGCATAATAGTATAGAAACAAGGAAACTTTTCCGAGCTGTCAATCAGGGTCCAATCAGCTGACTGTCAGCTGGGACGGGCCCGGCTTAACCCTCGCGGCGCCGCGGCGCCTCCCCGGGACGCGGGGAGGCAGCGGGGCCCTGCGCAAAGTTTAGTGCGGGAGACGGAGTTGTGTTTGTGGGGCGGCGGGGGGGGGAGGTTGGTTTTGTGTTTTTGCGGAGGAGAGGCTGGAATCCGGTGGATTCCGGAGGACAAGTTCGTGGCTTTTCTTTGGAGCGCGAGGGAGGGCGGCCTGCCTTCCGACCCCCCCCCAGCCCGCCGCTCTGCAGGCACTGCCCCCCCCCGGAACGGTGGGTTCTCTTTGCAGCCCGGCCCTCCCCGTGCCCGGGCATCTGTCTTTCTGCTGCCCGGATCTGTTCTTTCTCGGAGTCTGGTGCGGCTCTAACTTGGCCCAACTCTTTGTCCCTCTGGCGGGTGACAGTGCACGGGGAGGATGCGCGGGGCGCCCCGGGGTCCGGACCGTACGCGCGCGCTTAGCCCCGCGGCCTCGCGCCCGGGCGGCGTGGAGTCCCGCGGGGAGGAAGCAGCCCGTGGGATCACCCCGCTCAAAGGGAGGTGCAATAAGTTGTTGGAGGCCCTTTGGCGCCGGGACTGGCCGCGACTCGCTGCGCCGAGCGGACCCCGGGAACGCTCCGCCCGGCGCAGCCCTCGATCCCCGGCCCGGGCTGGAGTTTGGGCTTTGCAATCGCCCCCCGTCCCCGCACACACGCACGCACACGCGCACGTCCCCCCACGAAATCGAGGCCCCTGTGCACCGGGGTCGCGCGCCCTTTGCACTTTTACGATTCACTTAAATTTTTTTTTTCGGGACTGGATCGCGGCCGGGGAGGCGACGCGGGGAGAGCAAACAATGCCCAGCCCTCCGGGGCGCCCCTGGAAGGGTTAAACTTTAAACCGCTTCCCCCATCCCTCCCAACCCCCCCCCCGCCCGGAAACCCAGCGTGGGGGTGGGGCGCTTCTCCCCCCCCCCTTGGACACCAAAGCCAATAACTAGTTCGATTTTCTAAATCGCTTCTTTGAACGCTGTGCAAAATGCATGCATATAATATATATATATAGAGAGAGGGGGGGTAGAAAAAGGAAAAAAAAAACCCAAGAAGGAAAAAGGAAAGGAAAGAAACGGGCAACTCTCTTCTAAGATTTTAAAGAGATAGGCCGGGCGGTGGAGGACAGACAGACAGCCGGCCGGAAGCCAAGCTAGGCTCGCAGAGGCCAGCCCCCCTGCTCGGAAGCGGGGCCGGCCGACCCCGCCGCCCGGGAGACGCGTCTCGGGGTTCGCCTTACTTGTGTCAACTTTACGGGGAGGGGAGAAGCTGCGAAGGCGCGCCTGGAAACGACAGCCGCGACCACAAACAGCCCGGGCGCGGGGCCGGCGGACGGCGGTCGGGGCCGGTTTTTACCGCAACAGCGCCACCTCTCGGCGAAGGTCAGTGGAACCTGAGCGGGGTCCGGCGCGTGGCGGTGCGGGGCGAAGCGGCGGCTCTCCCCGTGGGAGGGGAGAGGAGGTGCGGGGGGGGGGTGGACCGCCACGGGAGGACCCCCCAGACCCCCGAGGCCAGAGCACGCGTGTAGAGCAGAGGCAGGAGCTGGCTTCGCTCCCGTCACCGAGCACAGGCCCGGGACGGATGCAGACACCTTGGAGGCGCTGACTCCAGCCCAGCTCTCCTTGGAGCAGAGCAGATCCCCCGCAGACTGGAGGCCCCCCAACTTTAAAACTACAACAACTGTCAGGATGGATGTGTCAGCGAGGCTTTCCTGCGCCTGTCCACAGAAGTCAGCGATCAACGCGATGTATCCAGGAAGGCCAAGTGCGGGGCTGTGAACTTGTTTGTCTGAGAAGGCCTCTCTGAGAAGCTGACTTCTGACACTTGGGCGCGAAACCCAGCACTCAGAACAGAGCGAGTCCTTAGGTAGCTCCCACCGGTGGGCTCCACACTCCAGGGCAGACCCAGGGTGATTTCTCTGATCCTTGGCCGTCTGAGGCTTCAGCACACCCAGATGTCCCCAAACTGGGAGACTCCCCAAAATGTTGGTAGGGACATCTTAATCCTCCAAGGCCACTGCCTTGACGTTTTCTAGACAGACAGCTGCAGAGCTGCCAGAAGTTGTTTAGAAGGGCATTTCTGGTTTGATAGAAGTACTTTGTTCGAGTGGAATGAACTGGGTTTAGTGCCAGTTCGGGGAAGAAAGTGAAGATTATGTCAATATTTATGCAACCTAAGAGACTTCCTTGCTTTCCTCCTCTTTAACAATATTTTACCTAGTAATGAAGTTAAGGGATTATAGTTTGGTGTGCAGAGGAAACCTCACTGCTGAAATGACATAAACATTCTTTCTGCTGCAAAGACCTGCCCGCAGCAGCCGTTATGGGACAGCCTTCAAGTTGGTTTTTTGTGTGTGTAAAATATGAATTTATGTGTGTTTGGGGAGGATTAATTTTTTGTTTGTGTGCATAAGATAATTTTTTTAAAGTCCTTGGATCCCTCCCTCTCCACAGAGTCTTTCTGGCCAGGAATTCTGAAACCGCTCCATTTATAAATAAACATTTCATAAACAAAATTTGCTAATGATGAAGACCATGCCATGTCGTTTCATGGCCCTGGACCTAATTGTTGCAATTATATATCATTTCTAGAAATTAAATGCCCATGTTTGGGCAGCTAACTGTATTATTATCTGCACATTTTTTATGGTTTATTTTTGCTCATGGCTGTCAAACTGTGGTATTTTTCTTTCTCCCATTGCAGTCTTTTATACTTTCCTATTTTCCCTGGGGGTGGGGAGAAGAGAAGAGAAGATTGGAATGATTTTTTTTGGGGGGTGTATGTCAGGAGTATTCTCAGGCTTGCAACTTAATTCTCATTGTTGTCCCTTTTACTTTATTATTTAGTGACTCGTGGGGGTGTCTAAACATTTATGGTTCTCTGTTAACGCCATTTTTTTGATAACAATTGGGCTCTCTCATTTTAATTAGTACTCTTCAGGTTTCTGATTTTCTACAATTACAGCAGCCCTCATCTCCTTAGACTTTATTGCTTGCATTGTTTGTTTCACTTCTATTCAAGCCAATCTAATCCAAATACAATATGAACTGTGTTTTCTTACAGCTTAATATCCCTTCACCATATATACTCTAGTAATCTCTGTAGAACAATATACAGTAATTTAGCAACCATGCATTTGTCATTATTGACCAATTCAAACCAGTAGCATTGAAGGTTCTGAAAGCAATGAGTATTTATAGAAGATTTCTGAAGGGGAGGAGAGCCTGGGTTGAATCACATAGAAGGTTTCGAAACAGTCACATCAAAAACACAATTATAGTTTCGTGTCAGTACATACATAACAACTTCATGCCAAAAAAGACAAAAGAAAAGAAAAAGAAAAAGGGGGTTTAAAAAAGCCCTGCATGTCCAAACTGCAAAGATTAAAAGCTAAGAAGAATATATATTTTCCTCACTGAGAGTTATTGCAGTTCAAGTATATATTATGTTGGATCCAGACATATATAATCAGAAGAGAACGGAATGTATCAAGAATAGCGTCCGAGCTCTTTGTTTATATAGGAGTTTATTTTATGGCCAAGAACTAACTGTAGTCCACTAAATTCAGTATGAAGCCAAGTAAATTGATTCGAGAGAGAGCTCTGAAGTCTAGCAGAGGCAAGGCATCACTGTTCTTAGGGCTAGTGTTAGACAAATCCTTTTTACCAGTCCTCAGTTAGCAGGGTAAGTAAATCACAAATCACTGTTAGCAGATTCATGGGAGAAAATTAATAGAATCAGATGAGATAATCTGATAAGGGGGAAATTGCTGAGGAAACAGACTTGCCTGGCATTGGAGAACGAGAGACAAGAGTTTGATTACTAGGAGTCGTTATGAATAGGTGAATTATGTACTAAATAATCATCAGAGTAATTCAGCATTTATTAATTCTTTTCTCCTTAAGCGATTCACGGTTGTAAGTTAAAGCCACTTTCTCTTTGAAGACACATCTTTTATAATTTTTATTAGAGGTAATTTATTATTTGCATCACCTGTATTTACTTCGTAATTGAACATTTTGCATTCAAATTTATGTAATGCATTATGCTTGAGAATATATTTCTGCCTGATTAGCATAAATAGTCACTTACCTCATGAATTACTAACAAAGTTTATCTCAAAATATAGGGTTTTTTATTAAGTGGGACACAAACATATGTACAATAAATTCTGATTTTCCGGTGTAGCTAGAGAACAACTCACGTTAGGTTAGGGGGAAGCAGCAGAAAGAACCAAGGGGGGCTGGATGTAAACTAAAGACGCATAAGACTTGGAGGTTTCTGTCTGTGGGTATCATTTAGTTGGGGTGGGGGTGGGGGCTGGGGGCAGTGCGGACGGAGATGCTGTGTCCTGGATTATTTATTGTGAATTCTGGAGAAAGAAAAGAAGCCGTGATTGATGACTGTCACTCCAGTGGATGGGACCTCAAAATGGAGAGGCTGGGAGGGGGGTTGTTCATGGCATTGCATTTCTGTTTTGTTGGTTTGTTCTTGTTTTGCAGGGTTTTCTTAGAACACAGTACACACCATTACAGGAAACACTTGTATTGCACAGGAGCTGTGACAAGCCGGGATGTATGCTGGGAAAGTGGGCCAGATTTTGCCCATCCTCTGGCCCCTGGTTGGCTTGCTTTGGCACAAAGGGGACTTTTAGGGGTGTGGGCATTGGAACCAAAGGACTTCTTTGGTTTTAGGCAATAGGCATAAATATAAAAGCATGAGGTCGACTTCCTATTCTTGCTATTCCAAATCAACTAATTGCTATTCTGTCTCTGTTTCTGTCTCTATCTCTGTCTCTGTCTCTCTCTCTCTCTTGCCCTTTCTTGAGGGCACAGCTCAGATTGTTCTTTTCCTTCAATTAGGGGCTGCTTATGATTTGTTCTCTCATTGTGATCCTTTTTTGATCCTTTTCATGGCTTTTACCGGTGAGGGAATTTGTCTGCAAAGCAGTCAACTCTTCAAAGACTTTTATTGTGGTGAACTCTTTTGTTTTTGTTTTTAAAGCTAGAATTTAAAAACAAAAATGAAGCCTGGTACACGAAGACTTTCTGCAGGCTGAGCCTTTCATCCACGGTGACAAGGAAACAGCTCAGAGATGGCGCTGTCTCCGTGTGCATACCCTTCTTCCTGCCCCCCAGCCATGCTGTAGTTTGTACATTGGGTTTCATGTAACATTTAGCAGCCCTTGGACCTGGGGGGGAAATACGGACCAACCTTAAATACTCCTGTAATTCTGGGGAAAGTCTACCTATGCAGGTAGCTTAGGGGTTTCTGAGTTTGTTTCTCTGGGGCCTGAGCAGAAGGGTCTCTGATACCATTTTATATTTTTGTTGCTTCATAAATGTGGCTGGACTTTTTCCTCATGCATTGTTTCTGCCTCAAAAACAACAAATATACCCCAGCAACACCCTCAGGATCACCTCCATCCTCACAGGGTGTCCCTGATCCCATGAAGAACAGAAAACTGGGTTCATACCTCTACCCTCCCCAAATAAAAATCAAAGTCAACTTGACAACAGGCCTTCTCATAGCATTTTTTTTCACTTAGTCATGTTATAACAGAGGTGTCCATTCCTTACTGAAATCAAATGAGTGGACAACACAGAAATAACTGGATCACAAACCAGAGATCCACTGGTCCCAGACTCCCCAACAGGGCCCTGATTTGGTGTATACTTTGTATTCAATGGAGTTTTCCCAGGCATAGGGTTCTTTAAGGTATCTTCCCCTTCAGCACACATCCAGGGCAATCTCAACAGCCAAGAGTGAGCCCTACTCTATTTGGAAGCTGAATTCATCTCCTGGAGGGGCTAGGAGACCCATGCTTCCCATTATTCTTCCAACCAATGGCAAGTCTAAATCTGCCTCCATGCCCTGCCCCTGGGCAGGGGAGTGGGAAGGTCTTTTGGGCAAACTTCTCTGCTGGGCACCACAGCCCCGCTGGGCTGCTCACGTCCCATAGAAACATTTTAATTCCTTGGACGACCAGACGAAAAGAAACAACTACAATTTAGCACGGATTATATGTGTCATCACACCAACGCAGCCTGAAGATATAATTTTCAATATGTGTTTTTTTTATACAAGAGTCCACAAAAGCCAAAATGCCTGAGGATCCACAAAAACCCACACACCTCTCAAAAAAACACGTGCTTGTTCTCCAGTGGAAGGGGCTCACTACTTCACAGTTTTTACCTTCTAGCTCGTCTACCACCTTCCTACAGTTTTTGACGTTGTCAAGAATATTTTTTCCATTGTTTGTTTTGCTCGTCTTAAGCTAGCATGCTGATCTGTGGTCTCAGGTGCCAAAGGATCTTCTTGCCAAAGAAGTAAAAAAGTAGACCACCTTTCCCTCCCTTTTGCTGCTCAGTCTTTAACCTTTCCACACACACACATCTCTGTCTCTTCTCATTGCTGCACAGAGAGTACAAATCTCAGAACTCAAAGGCCCACACGTAATCCTCGCCACACCATGCTCTTTGTTCTACAGGATGTCTGCTCTGGACGCAGACTATAATTTCATGAGTCTCTCCAGCAGACACATAACACCAGTGACTCACAGTGCGCATAGGATGGAGGTGGATTGCAGGCCCTGGTTTTCCTTCTCACATTTCCCGCCCCCCTTGTACATGTGTGTGTTTATGGTTTTGACCCCAAGTATAGAAATACACAATGATCCCCCAGCAGATGCCATCTCGTTCATCTCAGCCTGTTTCTTGCTTGTCTAACTCTCTCTGGCCATGGGATTTGTTGCTGACTAGTTTTAATTTGCTTCCTACTTTGGTGCCGGTTGCAAATGAAATAGATGCATTTCTTTTAGATGACCTAACCTGTCTCAGGCAGGTCCCTCATTCGTCCAGTGGGATAATGCTGCAAGTAGAGACTGTGTCTGTAAAGGGGCTCATGCATTGAGGGCTCAGAACGGCTCATCGGTAATTACGCTTCCCTTTGAGTTGTTAAGAGGCCAGGAAAACTTGGGCCATCCCAGGAGAGGAAGCCCCTTTCAGGCACCCAGTATCCACACAAAGTGACCCCTCTGGGATCATTTGAGACCCCGCAGGAGGGGAGAAAAACTGGGAGAGAGCAAGGAAGGGGTGGCTTTGTCCACAAAGAAATGTACTCATTTCCTGACTTACACACAGAGTAACCCCTCTGTACATTACCTTTATGATAACAATAAATGTAAAAAAGACCCCAAATGGACATTGAAAATCCACATGACTGATCTGGTAGACAGCATCCTCCATCGGGACACACACACACACACACACACACACACTTTTTCTAATGAATTCTGAAGTGCCAACACTTTCTGGTGCTATAGGTAAAGCTCTCTGTTGAAGAGATTACTGAAGAAGCATTCTGCATTTCACATTTGCCTTCACCTTGTGAACCTTTGCCCTGTCAAAACACACAGCAATTGTCCAATGCTGAGACCTCAGAGGCTCATAAAAAATAGATAAAAATCTGGAAAAACTAAGCAGGAGAGCCGTGTGTGTGTGTGTGTGTGTGTGTGTGTGTGTGTGTGTAAAAGCATATTGGAGATCAGTTCTTTTCCTCTGTGGATTTTTTTTCCCCTTCTGTATAGATCACCAACTTTCTTGCCATTTCCTGGTGCCAATTTTGAAGCAGGAGACTTAGATGCATTTTCTTGAATAGAGAAATTCAGTCTCAAGGGCTCACCTTTGAGTGCAACTTGTCCTCTTTCCCCCTCCTCCCCCCCCCCAGTCTCTTTTAAAGGGATTATGTAGTTTTTGCAAAAACCTCCTAGAGAAACTTGGGGACTAGAGCAGAAAGCAGCCCTGTGAGTTATTTATGACCGGCTGCGGAGAGCTGGGCTCCAGCCTGGCCTAGTCAGCGGACCCAGGTAGGGCCCCTCAGGGACCAGAGAGGCTGACATGGTGGGGACTGGTTGGGGAAGAGCCATCGTTCACTCATGGTCCATGAATTGCTGCTGACTAGAGACGGAGCCCAGGAGCTGTGGCAGTGAGACGCATTCTGGGGATACAGATGCTGAGGTCAACGCTTACATCTGCGTATTCGTCCTGTGCCCTCAGCAGAGCTCTTCACCGCCTTCCCCCAAATTCATTTCCAGGCTGCAAATGGACTGGGTTGCAGGAAAAGATCGGAACATCGTCTGGGTGACCAGGAGCTGTTCCCAGCACTTGGGTGATAGTGGGAAGCAGACGGGGGGGGGGGCCGGGAGGCAGAGGACCACCGACAGCCTGGCATGCTGGAAGGCTGTGGAATGGGGCGGATCCTTGTGGCCAAGACCCTCTGAGGTCAAAGCAAGAGAGCCCAGGAGGCGGGTTCAGAAGGACAGAGCCAAACCCGCCTGCATGCCCAGGCCAGAAGAGGTGTAAAGCGTGTTCCTGCCCAGGTGTGAGGTCTTGGCACTGACCTCTCTGGGCCTCAGAGTCTTCCTGGGTTAGAAGTGGGGGGGTGGGATTGGGATCATGGGTGCTTAGAGGCCAGGAGGCAAGGTGCTTGTCCCCCGGAGCACTGAGTCTGTGGGACCCTGTGCATAGTCGTCACATGCTGTCTCCCTGGGGGCCTGGAGTGCACTAGGATTGGGGGAGTGGCTCTCTCCTCTGTCCCTGTGCCCGCTGTAAGCTCTGTGTGTGCCGGAAGCTGCCTTCTTGCTTCACTCTGAAGAGTGCCACGGTGTTGCTCACCTGGAACTCTTTTCCTCTCTCTACCTTTCCATCCTCCCTCCTGGCTGAGGGGCCCCTCCCTTGAGTCTTGGGTCTCCACTTAGAAGACTTACCTGAGTTCCTTATCTTGTTTATTTTTGTGTTACTGGGGATCGAATTTATGGTCTTAAGCTTGCTAGGCAATGGCTCTGTCACCTGAGCTATGCCCTCATCTCCCCTCTCCCTGTTGTTTGTTTTCTGTGTTTCAGAAAAGGTTTCGCTAATGTTGTCTGGGCTGGTCTCAACTTTGAGATCCTCCTGCCTCTACTTTTTGAGTGGCTGGGACTACAGACAGGTGCCACCACACCCAGCTTACCAAACTCCTGCTTAGTGGCTTCCAGCGCAGGCCAGATGCTCAGGGGATAGCTTCACTGTGTTTGTGTCCTCTCCTCCCTTCATTTTCCAAAGTGCTTGGCACAGTACATGCTCAACATGTATACCAACGAAAACAATGAAACGATACTCTGGTTTCTCACTTCTCCTCTCCTCTCCTCTCCTCTCTTTCCTTCCTTCCTTCCTTTCCTCCCTCCTCCTTTGTTTCTCTCTCCCGCTCTTCCCTCCCTCCATCTTTCTTTTCTTTCTTGGAGTTCTAAGCCACACAAAATATCCTCCCAAATGTCCCAGAAAGCCCAGCTTTGATGGGCAGAGTGGCTGGTGGCTGAGTTACAACAGTTCTTGCATTCATGTCCCCCTGGTCCAACTGGCCCAGCCCTCCATGACCAGGGTGCTAATGTGGCTCCTTCCTTGGCCTGCATCTTCTTGAGATGGAACTGGCTGGAAAGCAACGCTGAGAGGTGCAGCCCTGGAGCCGGGGTGGAAGGCAATCAGCCTTTCTGGGCTGAGCTTGTGGGTGTGAGGGAGACGGTATTAAGAGCCATTCCAGCCCTGCCTGCCGCCGTCTAAAGGGCCTGCTCCAGGCTTCCATCACAGCTGCATGGCCAGGGCTTGGAGGCACCCGGACAGACGCTGTGTGGGAACCCTGCCGTCCCAGGGCGAAGCTTGCTCCTCAGATGCAAAGCTGCACGGAGGCGCTGAGCAGCGTGTGGCGCCTGACAAGCCTGGAATCAAGGTCAGATGTGGAGGCTGAGCCACCAGTTCTGAGCGTCCTCTCCGCTCCAGCCTTCCAGGGGCTGGCTCAGCCTCTCCCGGGAGCCCCTGGCACGGCTCTGGGAAGCACCCAGCGCTGGGGTCAGTAGGGCAGAGGACTCAGGTGTCTGACCTTGCACAAGGCCTCTATGTCTGTCTGTCTGTCTGTGTATAGCAATGTCACGCAGTCCTCTGCCCACTGCAGATGGAAAGACTTTGACCTCAATTGGCTTAAATATAAAGAGACCTGGCTGGCCCGAGCAGCTGCTCCAGGGACGGGGCTGGGCGCAGGGGCCCTGTGGTGTTGCTGACGCTGGCTTCCTCCTCGTGTGTGAGCTCAGGACCGGGACCCCTGTGGGGTCCTCCCGGGCGAGGCCCAGGGGGTCAGTGCGAGTCTCCCACGGGCTACAAGGTCCCGTCTGGCTGGATCATTTGACGGGTTCCAACCTCACCCCTGCACCAGCCCCCGTGACAGGACACTGGCTGCAGTACCCGGTTAGCTCAGACCTGGTCTCAGGAAGGGGGAGAGGCAGGAGCTGAGGCTCCCTGAGGGTGGCAGAGGAACGGTCCCCCGAGGGACCCCGTGGAGTGGGCCATGCTGGAGAGTCAGCCACAGGCACTTGATGCGAAGTGTGCAGCTGGTGGTCTCCTTGCCTTGGGGAAGGAGGGACCTGGGGTCACCCCCTGAGGTCCTCCTTGGGGGTCTTTCCAAGATCACCCAGCTGGTGAGTGGCCCAAAGTATGAATCCAGGCAAATGTGCAAAAGTCA